CTCCTGGGCTGTCGGGGGGCCCCTGTGGGAGGGAGCAGAACGGGACCCTGGCAGGGAGTCCATAGTGGTGCTACTTCCTGGGGAGTCGGGGCTCCTGGGGGAGGACCACGCCGGCTAACTGCCCCTCCCTGCAGAGCAGAGGTCAGTGGAGTGAGGGCTGGAGGTGGGCTGAGTGAGGGCTGGTGGGGGCAGTGTTGGGGGTCCCCAGGCAGTGAGAATAACCCCTCCCCCCACCCTGGTGCCAGGTTGGCGGAGGGCCGGGCATGGGGTACAATGTGAACGTGGCATGGACGGGAGGTGTGGACCCCCCCATCGGAGACGTGGAGTACCTAACGGCCTTCAGGTGAAGGGCCCCCCCACTCCCCCTGGGCCCCTCCGCGGGAGGGCTAGAAGGCGCTCAGTGGGATCTGGGCGGAAGGGCTTGCGGGGTGGAGCGCGGTGGGGCGGCTGGTGCCGCACAGCGGGGTCAGCTTGGGCGCCTCCTTGCAGGACAGTGGTGATGCCCATTGCCCACGAGTTCTCACCGGACGTCGTCCTGGTCTCTGCTGGGTTTGACGCTGTCGAGGGACACCTGTCTCCGTTGGGTGGCTACTCGGTCACCGCCAGATGTAAGCCCGGATGGAGAGCAGCGAGGAGGAGCGGGTGGAGGCGTGGCGTGGAAAGACCCCGCCTGGTGCGAAGGCTTGGGGGAGAGTTGGAGGCACCGTCCTGGCTGTGCCCCCTCTGCCGCCTCCCGCTCTGGGCTTTGAGGGGCAGCCGGCTGGGATGGGCTGGCAGGGGCTGTGCCTCCTGGCAGCCCCTGGTGCAGTGTGCGGCCCCACATGCTTCAGCCGCGTTCCTCAGTAGACACAGTCGAACTCCTTTGGGCCAATTCTTCTGTCCTTTTAGTTTTTGGTTTGGGTTTTCTTTTTTTTGGGGGGGGGGCGGGTGGGTGGCAGGGGCCACACCCAGTGGTGCTCAGGAGACCATTTGTAGTGCCAGGGATGTGACTGTGGTGAGCCACGCAAGGCAGACACCGTAACCCCTGTTCTGTCTCTTGGCTCTGTTCCAGCCCAGCATGACAGGAGTGCTTGGCCCATTGACATGTGCGCAATAAGTCCCCCATTTCGGGCTCTTGGTGGCAGCACTTCTGTCTGCTATGCATGAGCATGGCCCTGGGTTCCACACATCCCCCATAGCCCCTGACTACCCACCTCCCCCACCTTGCCAGGTCCAGCCCCTCTGAAGATAAAACCAAATCTGCCATTTTCCTCAGCTGCTCACATTTCTTCCAATCTCTCTTCTTTTGGGTTTCGGGGCCACACCCAGCAGTGCTCGGGGGACCGTGCAGTGCTGGGGACTGATTCTGGGAATCCTGCAGGCAGAGTCTGAGCTCCAGCCCCTAGATATTTTGTCTTGGTTTGGGGGGCCACACCTGACAGTCACTTCTGGCCCTGCACTCAGGAATCAATCCTGGCGGTGCTCAAGGGACCATATGGGATGCCCGGGTTAGCCACGCGTAAAACAAGCGTCTTTGCTATACTATCTTTCAGTCCGCGTGATCTTTTTTAACCCTTCCTTCTTCCTCCCTTTTCATGTCCCCAAAGGTTTTGGTCACTTGACCAGGCAGCTGATGACGCTGGCAGGGGGCCGGGTGGTGCTGGCTCTGGAGGGAGGCCACGATCTGACCGCCATCTGTGACGCCTCTGAGGCCTGCGTCTCGGCTCTGCTGAGTGTGGAGGTGAGGGGCTCAGGCAGGGCGGGTGGGGGGCCCTTCCCGGAGCGACATGGCCGCAGGCTGTGGGGGTCCCGTAGATGCTGAGGGTCACCAGCCACCTGGGAAGGGCTTTCTGCTTCCTGGGCTTTCCCCAGGCTTTTTCCAGGCTTTCTTGCCCCCCCATCACGAGAGGTGGATGGGGGTGCCTGGAGGGTGTGCCTCGCCATTCCCGCCCGCCTGCAGCTGCCCCCTTCCCTTCCAGCTCCCGCCCTTGGACGAGGCAGTCCTGCAGCAGAAGCCTAATGTCAACGCGGTGGCCACGCTCGAGAAAGTCATTGAGATCCAGAGTGCGTGGGGGACAGCTGGCCATGGTGGGGGGTGAGGGTGCCCCCCACCTTGACCCCGTGGGGTGCCTCCCTGCCTGACCCCCGGCCCGCCCCATCCTGCAGGCAAACACTGGAGCTGTGTGCAGAGGTTCGCTGCCGGCCTAGGTCGATCCCTGCGCGAGGCCCAGGCCGGGGAGACGGAGGAGGCCGAGACTGTGAGTGCCATGGCCTTGCTGTCGGTGGGGGCCGAGCAGGCCCAGGCGGCGGCAGCGCGGGAACACAGCCCCAGGTAAGGGCCCAGGCCCCGCCCCCGCCCCCCTGCTGACTGTCCAGCGCCCCCCCCTCTGGCTCACACTTGCCCCCCTGTCCTTGTCCCCGCAGGCCAGCAGAGGAGCCCATGGAGCAGGAACCGGCCCCGTGACGCTCCCGCCCATCACTCTGGGCTTCATCATTGTGATTTTGTTTATTTTTTCTATTAAAAACAAAAAGTCACACATTCAACAAGTGTGCTGTGTGGGTCTCTCAGCCCTCCTCCTCCTGCTCAGCCGCCTCAGGCCACCCCCCCCCCCCCCACACACACACACATCAGCCCTAGAAGCTGGCTCCCTGGAGGATGGCAGGGTGCCCTTCCTGCCTCTGTGGGGAACCCCATGTCCACTTTCCTGACCCTACCCTGGTCCTTGAAGCCTGGGTCAGTTCCAGGTGGGCATGGGGCCCAGACGGTGCCTTCCCGTTCAGGGTTGTCCCTGAGTGAGGAGGTTTGGTTTGATCTGCTGTCTTGGGGGTGGGGGGGAGAAATGCCTTAATTTCACCCTCCTCCCCCCTCCAGCCTTGGGGAGGGCCTGAGGGTCTCTCCACAGCTGAGTTGCCGAGGGGGCACCCACCCTTGGTGTCCACCCTTTGCTCTTCAGTTGCCCTCTCACTGCGCTCCTGACTTCCTCCTCTCCTGGGGGCAGGCACCGGGGAGCCCCAGGCTGTGGCCAGAGGCTAGGGGCAGGGCTCTGAGGCCTGTTTTCCTCCCTGGGGCTGGAGCCCAGAGGGGGCCCCCCAAAGTAGCCTCTCCACCTTCCTGCGGGCCTCCCTGTCCCTCTGTTGGCAGGACCTGGGGGCAGGGGGGAGAAGGTGGTCCCTGCAGGGGGGCTCCGGGCTGGTGAGAGCCCCCCTGCTGCTCAGGACCAGACTTCCCCAGCCGCCCAGTGTGCTGCGGGCAGAGGGGCACGGCCCACCCCCTCCCGAGGACCCTGGCTTGGAAGCTGGGGCAGCGCCCCAGGGCAGGCCTCTCTGGAGCTTCCCTTTCTCCAGTGCTCTTTGCTGACCATGGCCTGAGGGAGCGGAAACCAGGGGGAGGCTGGGCACTGCCCTTGCTCTGCCCCAGGGGTCCCATGAGCCCTGTTTCCTGGACGGGAGGGGGTCCCATCCTGCCTGGGGAGCAACCAAAGATGGGCAGCAGCTCCCCGGGGCTGCTTCCACCCTGTCCTTCCTTGCTCCCCCTCACCCCTACTGTTTACATATCCATTCTCCTCCAGGGGGCCTGCCTGAGCAGGGCTGAGGGACCCGGTGGGGCAGGGGCAGAGGCCCCACAGTCCGTCTGGCGGACAGAGCACTGTGCGCGAGTGTCTGGTGTGTTGTTCGTGTTCTCAATCTTCCTGGGGCCGGGCCGGGCCGGGCCGGGGTGAGGTGAGGGCGGCCCATCCACATGCCGCTTCCAGCTGAGCCCCAGCCGGAACCCCCCGCCGCCAGCATCCACCTCTCCTGTATGACCCCTCCTTGCTTTGTCTCCCTAGCTATGGATTTTAGCTGCGTGTTTTGTAACCCGCTACACTGTGTGTCGTTGTGTAAATAAACTGGTTTCTGGCAGTGCCTTCTGGGGCCCATGTCTGTTTTCGGGGCTCCCTTATTCCCCCACTTGACTCCCCCAAAATGGATCTGTTTCTCCAGCACCCTGGTCTAGCGTGAGGTAAATTACCTGTATCTCCCAGGACCTGGGTGGGGGGGGCGGGGAGGGGCATGGGTGGTACACAGGCCAGGCATACAGGGGGCTGGGGCTAGATCCCTAGCACTGCCAGATATGCCCCAGGTGGCCCCTGAGCACAGCCAGGCCTTGAGACAGTTTTTCTGGAAGCAGTCCCTGGATCCCCCGGCACTGCTGGGGGGAAGAGGGTGCAGAGCAACAGTCCAGTGGGTAGGGCGCTTGCCTTGCACCGGCCAACCCGGTTTCCATCCCAACATCCTGGATTCCATCCCAGCATCCCATGTGGTCCCCCAAGCACTGCCAGAAGCGATTCCTGAGTGCACAGCCAGGAGTAATCCCCGAGCATCGCCAGGCGTGACCCAAAAAAACAAAATTAGGGACTGGGGAGACAGTTCCAGGAATTAAGGACACATTTAATCTCTAGTACCACGTGCCCCCCACCCCTCAGGCATTGCCAGGTGCAGCTCTGGAGCATCCTGAGGGTCCCTGGGCATCTCCAGGGTGACTCAGGTGGTTTTTGGCACAGCAGGGCTGCCACACTGACTCAGGTCAGGTAAGCTTTGACTGCTGGGACTGGCCCAGGAGCCCTGGGCACTGCTCAGGAGGCTTTCCCCGCCCAAAACTCTCCGGGCTGGGGATGTGGCTCTGTAGAGGGTAGGCCTGGGTTTCACTCCCGGCACTCGGGAGACAGAAACCCAGGGCTGGGAGATGGCTCCACCGCCGGCACTGCCTGGTCCCAAGCCACATCAGGCATGGCCCCCAAACCAGCCAACCAAAAACCAAGGGCAAGCGCACATGCCCGTCAAGTCTGAGGCGTTGAGCTGTAGCCCAGCACCCCCAGGCTGGAGCTTTGACCATGAGGACGCCCCTGAGAGGTCTCCCCCAGACCCTTCCCTGCTATTTAAAATACCGAAAAGGAGTAAGAAGTGTGAAGGGCTTTATTGGGGCTGTGCTCAACCCCTCACAGTGTCAAGGAACACCCCCGCTGTGTGTCCTGGGGTGGTGGGAGGGGCAGCAGGGTGAAATCACCCCCATCCCCAAGGGAGCGCCAAGACCAGGTGGCTGGTGGGAGAAGCGTGCGAGGGGGTGCTGGCGGGATGGGGTGCCCCTCGGAGTGCCTGCCGGGCGGAGGGAGTGTTGGCTTTGGGACGGGAGGGACCCCGCGTCAAGAAGAACGGATGGGGGGCAACTCCTGGGCACTGAGCGAGTACACAACCCAGGGCACCAAGGCAAGGACCAGGCAGGGCCACAGCGTGTACTTGAGGAAATTGAAGATGTAGAAGAGGCTGATCTGAGGCGGGTGGCCCAGCCAGTGGAGCGGGATCAGCAGCGTCATGGACAGCAGGAGGCAGGCGCTCTTCTGGCTGCTGTCCAGGTACACCCGCCGCACCTCGGCGTAGCAGGGGGAGTGCAGGGCGATGCCCAGGCCCAGCACGGCCCCCGCGTCGCGGCTCAGGGAGGCGAAAGGCCGGCTGTCGATGTGCACCCACTCAGGCCGCTCGCACCACTTGGACGCCAGGTCGACGGACCTGCGGAGAGGACGGGTGTGCCCCAAGGGAGGGTCCCCGGGAATCTGAGGGGCCCCGCCCCCACATTCTGCCATGCCATCCCAAGGGGGCATAGTAGCCAACAGGTGCTCTGTCCTGCTGAGTGGCCCGGGTGCAGGGGAGGCAGGGCTGCCCGTGCTCCAGGGCGGGACTTACCAAGACACGTCCAGGCCAAGCGAAAGGAGGAACCAGTAGGTGATGCTGGCACCCAGCAAGAGGGCCAGCGAGGTCAGCCCGTAGAAGCTCAGCTCCCGCTCCACAGGGACGTGGCGGGCCATCAGCCAGCCCAGGGCAGCACCTAGGGCAGTGGACAGAGCAGCAGCGTCAGAGGTTGGGGGATATGAACCCCGGAGGTGCAATGCATTTTGGCGGAAGCTACAGATGCAGACAGAAGCGACAGATCCTGGCAGGATGACAGGAAGAGGAGACTGCTCCCTCACTGCCACGAGCACCCTCCAGGCCCACCCTGTCCCCTCTGTGCTCACCAATGATCGAACCAGTCAGAACCTGGTGAGGGAAATGCGCTAAGAGGAAGATCCGGGACATGCCGATGGCCAGTAAGAAGACGCAGTAGGCCAGCAGGGGCATCATTCTAGGCCAGTACCTGGAGACAGACGCAGACATTCAGGCGGGGTTCCCACAGGTTTCCCTCGCACCCCAGGTCCCCACGTCCCCAGAACTCCAACTTCCAGCTGGACCTCTCGGGGCTTAGGGAGCACCGGCGCTGGCTACCCTGCTCCCCACTCCCCGCGTGCGCGATGTCAGGGTGTACCTGTTGGTCTGTGTGGCCACATGGGAAGAGACGGCTGTCATGATGGGCCATAGGGCGGCTCCTGTGATCATGCAGTGTCCAGAAGGGCTGCCTGCCAGGGCAGAGGAGGGCTGAGCAGTGTTCTTCCTCCCAGCACGGGGCCCGCACTCCCTCAGTCCTGCTCAATTCTGAACCCTGGGCTCTAGCCCTGTGAGCTGCCCCCACCCCCACCCCAGTGGCCTGACACCCCCACCCCCCAGGACACTTCCCTAGAACCTGGGGCTGCTGCTGGGCCGCAGGCACAGAACTGTCCCGTCTACCGTTCTTCCTGGGCCTGGCTTTGGTCTCTGGGCCGGTTCCCCAGAGGAAGGGGGCCACCCTGGCTAAAAGGTCTCTCCCCTCCTCCCTGGAAATCTGTGCCTTCTGGGTAAGGGAGGTTTGAGGCTTCACACCTGGGCCAGTTTCACAAGAAGAGGGGTACTGATGAACCTGGACCGGGGTCTGGCCGTAGTACCCCGACTCATAGATCCACCAAAAGGGCCGGTCTCCAAACAGAAGCCTAGAAGAGAACAGGAGCGAGATGGCAGGCAGCCCAGAGATGCCCGTGCAGACGGATATGACCGTGCCATTACCCTGCATGGTCACCCCCCACCCCCATCAGGAGAAAGCACGCTAGTGGACATTGTTATTGTTTCTGGTTTGGGGGCCACACCTGGCAGTGCTCAGGAGTTACTCCCGACTCTGCACTCAGGAGGAATCACTCCTGGCAGTGCTCAGAAGACCCTATGGAATGCCAGGGATTGAACCCAGGTGGGGACTGAAGCCAGGTCAGCTGAATGCAAGGCAAGCGCCCTCCCTGCTGTACTATTTCTCTGGCCCAGAGAGAATGCTATTTATCTGCCTGCTTCTATCATTGCTGTGGGAGCTGCACCTGGCCACGGTGGGGGCAAGTGGGGTGAAGGGGGCTAAACCTAGGGCCTTGCACATAAGCTATGTACTGTGTCACTTCAGTTAAATCCCTGGCCCTCTTAAAGCACACTGGAGCAATTAATATGAAATAAACTTGTCATATGCCTGTCAAGGGGGCAGGCTGGGAGACTGGGAGGGAACATGGGAACCTCTGTGGAGTGAAGGGGACACTGATGGTTTAGGATTGGTGTTGCCTGAAACAACTCTGTTATGAACAACTTTGTAAATCACAGTGTTTTTTTGTTTTTTTGGTTTTTTTTTGCTTTTTGGGTCACAGCAGATGATGCTGCTCAGGGGTTACTCCTGGCTTTTGCACTCAGGAATTACTCCTGGCGGTGCTCAGGGGACCATATGGGATGCGGGAATCGAACCCAGGTCGGCCACGTGCAAGGCAAAAGCCCTACCCACTGTACTATCACTCCAGCCCGAATTAGTGTCTTAAGAAAGATAAATGTAAAGAAAACATTTTAAGTGCTACCTGAAAGGGCTAGAGTGAGAATACAACAGATAGGGCACTTACCTTGCATGTAGCCAACCCAGCTTTGATCCCGAGCACCATATAGGCCCCTAAGCAGGAGTAAGACCTGAATGCTGCTGAGTATGGCCCCCAAACCAAGCCAAACCAAAAGTAATAGCTCAGTAGTACCAGGAATGGCCCCTAAGCACTGTTTAGGAAGTGCCTCTCACATTTTTGTAAGGGCATTTTTAAGTAACAGGAAGTCGAGGATATGTAGCTCAGCGGTAATGAGCATAACTCGTTTAGGTGAGTTCCTGGGTACACAGTACACACCACACGAACATACACACACAGAGCAATGGGGAGGCATGAGATGTATGTGCCTGTATAAGCATGTGCTCGTGTGTAAGTTGCATGCATGGCGTATGCTCTGAGATACCAGATACTCTTATCCCTCCCATTGCAGGACCAGCTTAAAACCCTGCCTCTCTCCCGCCCCGACCTTTCAGTTTGCCCCATGCTCCATTTTTCAAATTCCAATCTGAATTACTCTCCTCAGAATTTAGCTCAGTCTGTAATGAGGAATGAGGAGAGAGTATGGGGATTAAAGTACTTGTTTTGGATTCTGATCCCTGGCACCATATATGATTTCTGAGCACTGAGAGGGGTCACTCCTGAGCACAGCTAGGAATAGCCCCACAGTACTGCTGGATTTATGCCCCCTCCAGAAAAATTCAACAACTACATACTCCCCTGGTCTTGGGCTGGAAAGATAATACAGCTAGTAAGGAGAATAAGCAATAACCCAAGACCACATAAATCCCATTAGAAGTGACCCCCACGGGGCTGGAGCAATAGTATAGTGGGTAGGGTGCTTGCCTTGCGTGTGGCTGAACTGGGTTCGATCCCCGGCATCCCATATTGTCCCTGGAGCACCGCCAGGAGTAATTCCTGAATGCAGAGCCTGGAGAAACTCCTGAGCATGGCCAGGTGTGTTCAAAAACAAAAACGATTTAAAAATTAAAAGTTTGTGTTTCGTTTTTAAAAACGAGTGACTCCTGAGCACAGAGCAAAAATAAAGCTCAGAGTCAGTAGAATGTGGTTCTCACTCTCCCATAAAAAAAAAAAAACAACAACTTGGGGTCAGAGTATATAGTAGGGCACTTGTAGAGCTCTTGCCTTGCATGTGGCTGACCAGAATAAATCCCCAGCATCCCATCTGGCTCCTTAGGCTTCACCAGGCATATCTCTGAGCATAGACTCATGACTAAGCCAAAACCAAACAAATAAAACTCCCCTAACCTGGGCCAGAGAGATGCCTCTAAGGGCTATAGTAGCCTGCGGGAAGTCCAGGTTTGATCCCATCACCTGAAGCAATGAGCCAGAGTAGCCTCAAGCACTGTCAAGTGTGATCCAAAACCAAGATCAAATCCCCTGGCCCAGGTGGGCGGCTGGCCCCAGGGAAAAGAGAAGAGGCAGGAGAGCAAGTGTGGCACAAAGCCAGGTGCTGAGGAGCGGGAAGGCAGGAGAAAAGTTGTCTCGCCACCAAAAACTAAGCCACACACTGCCTGCTGAACATACCTCCCTAGCAGGTGAAGTGGGGCTTAACTGTGCTGAATGTGGGGAGCACTGAGCATTTGTGGAGGGAGGGGTGCGGTGAGACTGGCTGCAGGGCTGGAGGGGAAGCCTATGCAAGCCAAGGGAGGGAGAGCACAGGCAGTTAGTCAAGCCGGAAATGAGGAGTCAACAGCTCTCCAGGCCACTGATAACCTCATGAAAACCTGGCAGGGAAGAGGACACAGGAGGGAAACTCACATTCTGTTATTTCAGCAAGTCCTTCCAGCCTGCTCAGGCATCACCTCCTTTCCCTGCCCCAGGCTGAGGTTCTGGCAATAAGGACTGAGGTGTGTGTGTGTTTTGTGTGTGTGTGTGTGTGTGTGAGGGGTGCAGCTGTATGGGGGGGGGAGCTTCCTTCTGCATCCTACATAGAGAACTGGTGGGTCAGGGAGACAAACCCCAAGGGCCCCACTTTCATCCCAGGCATTCCTGGCTTCTAAGTCTCACTGTCAAGTGAAAGAAGAAGAAAAGGGAGAAAAGACTCCCATAGAAGGCCAGAGGGTAACTGTGCACACCAATTCCTCAGGCACCTTATTAAAATGCAAATTCGGACTCCTGTTGGCTCTGGCCAGCAGCCTGACAAGTCTGCATGTCTAGCAAGCTTTCCAGGGTTCTCTATGATGCTGGTTCCCTTCCAGGGCCCACAGTTTAATCTGTGAGCCTCTTCTGCACGGAGCCGCTCCCGGGATGCCGGGACGCAAAGCATGAATGGATGAATCCGTGAATGATGAATGAAAGCGAGCTGAGAAGCGGGGCTTCCTCCTACTTAAGTCACTATAGATTCTTGTCAAAAGTATAGCTTCCCAGTCGTCTCTCCCGAGGAATTCCTAAACCAGTCAGTCTGAGCTGGGATGGGGAAACAAATACACGTGTTAAATACACGCCCCTTAGCCGGGTTAATGGGCAGAAAGGAGACTCCGGTCCAAGATGCTCAAAGGGGAGGAAAATCCAGGGGCCACGGGGTGGGGGTGGGGGGCAGGAAGGTCTTCAAGTCAGAGGTCCAGGACGACCGAGGCACCTGCTAGGAGGTCCTAGGCCCGTGGGGGTGGGGGGCCGGGGCGCAGGGGGACTGCCCGGCGGTCTCACCACTTGAAGACGAGGTTGAGCCACTCGGTGAGGAGGCCGATCCAGAGCAGCGCGATGCCCACTCGCCGAGAGGTATAGTACGCCGCGGGGAAATAGAACAGAAAGAGGATCTTGGGATCGCCCATCACCGTAGCAAAGAGCCAGAAATTCTCCAGCCAGGGCAGCTGATTCTGCAGCTTCTCGGCCATGGCGATGCCAAAGCCCAGCATGGACTCCATGGCGGCCACCCGAGGGCCCGCTAGGCCGAGGCTCCCCGGGGTGCAGGCAGAGGCGCCCCTGCGACAGGGAGCGCGGCCGCAGGCCCGGAAGGTCCCCTGGCGGCCCCGCCCCCGCCCCACGTAGCGGTTGGCCGCAGGCCCCGCCTCCCAGCCCTTGGGCAAGCGCCGGCCGAGCTGCCGCCCAGGCCCGCCTGCCCCTGCGCTCGTCCCGGCGGCCGCCTCGCTACTGGGCAGCGCAGGGGACAAACCTCCGCGAAGGCGTTTCCGCAGGGCCCCACGTGGCCGCGATTGCCGGCAGTTCCTGCTGCTGTTCCGGGTCAAGGGAGAGACTGAGCTATGGGCTGTACCGTGCTCCCAGCGCCCCTGCGCTGCTGCTGTGAACATCCGTGGACGTGGAATCTCCAGGGCCAGGATGCCTGCGAAACCAGACGCCTTTTCTCCATGTTTCCACTCCCCTCCAAAACATAATCTCTTAGGCAGAATGCGTGGTCCCGCCTCCCGGGCGGAGCCAGAAACCTGGGTCCATGCCTAAAATTTGCACCCTTCTGAGCAAAAGTGTCTTCCTCCCTCGGTTCCAATATAGCCTTTTTTTTTTTTTTAATTTTTGTTGTAGTTTGCTTTGTTTTGGACCACACCCGGTGGTGCGGCAGGGCTTACTCCTGGCTCTGCTCTCAGGGGTTACTCTATAGGGGAGCATATGGGCTGTGGCGAATTGAACCCAGGTGGGCTGCGCGCAAGGCAAACGCCCTACCTACTGTACTATCTCTCCGGCCCCACCAGCTGCATCGTTTGGGAGGTAGACAGATAAGCCAAGCCTCCTGATTTTGAGTGTTCTATAAAGACTTGCAAAGGTTTATACTTCTCCCAACTCAAGTCACACATCCAGTTCTAAGCTTGCCTTGCTGGGTCCTTCCCCAATCTCTTGTCTTCCAGAACCCCGCTGGGCAGATAAATATGGAGATAGTAACAGGACTGCTATAAAAAGAGGAGGGGCCCACACCCACGATCATATTTGAAATAATCATGGAGGAACAGAAAATAGAAAGCTATTCTTGGCCGGCCATGCCCAGAGGCAGAGGTGGGGTGGGAGGAGATTATTGGGGTGAATTTTCTTCTCTGTACCTACCTCCAGCAACTTAGTTCCTGGAGAGTTTTCTGTTGGGTGGATGAAAATGTAAATCTGGGTTCTTGGAAAGTGCTGAATTTTACTAACTAAAAAGGGAAGCTGATGAGAAATCTCATTTTACTCCTTTGTTAAACGTGTTTTTCAGTTATCCCGAGGAGCAATCCTTGGTTTTCTAAGTCTGAAAAGTTTGTCTCTAGATTCAACCTTCACCACCTAGTCCCACACCCCATTCCATAATATTCCTAAGAGTTCTGAGCTACTTATGTTCCTAGAAATCATCAAGTTCTCACCACTTAGAGGGAGCTGCACGCGCAGTTTTCTCTGCCTGAAATAGTTCTTCCTCTTCCTCTCATCTTTCAGGTCTTAAATTTGTCACTTCCTCCAGGAAGCCTTTCTTAACAGTCCGTGGCAGACCTGAAAACCTATAATCACAATGCCACATTAAAAGTGAAATGACAGTTACTTATGACTTGTTTTGGGGGGTAGACAGACAGGCAAGCTCTGTAGAAACAGCTGTGAGAATGGTATTTTTATTTCGACTACAAATGGTTGTACTATTACCCTAGTGTTCAGAAATTGATGTCTTTTTCATAGCAAGAAAAAACTTGAATTTTGTACAGATTAAATAGTGCCAGGGCAAGCTTTTGTCTCCCTTTGGAGAAAGACCAAATTGTTGTTAAATAACAACACCTGGGGCTCCAAATACACCTGGGGCTCCAAAATTTCTCTATAGGAGTGGGGTTTAAGTGCTTTAGGATGGTAATTGGTGGTGACAAGTCTTTTTTAAAAATTAATTTTTTTTTTCGCTTTTTGGGTCACACCCGGCTATGCACAGGGGTTGCTCCTGGCTCTGAACTCAGGAATTACCCTGGCAGTGCTCAGGAAACCATATGGGATGCTGGGAATCGAACCTGGGTTGGCCGCGTGCAAGGCAAACGCCCTACCTGCTGTGCTATTGCTCCAGCCCCCAAATTAATATTTTTTAATTGAATCAACGAGATACACAGTTACAGCATTGTGATTGGATTTGTCATATAATGTTCCAACACCCATCCCTTCACCAGTGTACATTTCCTACCACCAGTGTCCCCAGTTTCCCTTCCGCCCCCTGCACCCACCTCTGTGGCAGGCACTTTTCTTCTCACTCTCTCTCTCTTTGCCCCCCCAGCTCTTATAGTTACTCTAAATGTTTTTATTTTGGAGCCACACTGGCTGTGCTCAGGGATCTTTCCTGGCAGGGTTTGGGGGGGGGGGGGGGGGGGGGGGGGGGTTTCCTAGGAGTCAGCCTAGGTCACCTGCATGCAAGACAGGTACTTACCAGCTGTACTATCTCTCTAGCCCCATGGTTTTTGTTTTTATTTACTTTTTTTTTGGGGGGGCACTCCTGGTTCTGCACTTAAAAATTATTCCTGTTGGTGCTCAGGGAACCATATGGGTTGCTGGGGATCAACCCTAGGTTGACTGCATGCAAGGCAAGCGCCTTACCCGTGTACTAACTTCTTGTCTCCGTTTTTGTTTTTAATGTTAAAAACTGTTTTCAGAGCCAAAGAGATAGTACAGGGGTTAAGGCACTTGCCTTGCATGCAGCTATTTACAGTTGAATTCTGGACACTGCATAGTCTCTTGAACACCCCATGACATTAAGTAAAGTCAGGACTAGACATTTGTGCACGTATTTCATATAACCTAACTATTCTCTCTATATGTAATATCACAGGGTATTGTTGCTGATGGCTGCCTAAAGTGGGGAGCAAGGGAGGGAGCCTTGCTTTAAAAAAAGGCTTTTATCTCTCTGCTCAACTCACCTTGGCCACTTGTTCACAGGGAGATGCCTGGCATGGGTCAGGGCTGGTGGTCAACAACAAGCACTACAGGGCACAGACACTCATGTCCTGGCAGCCCCACGAGGCAGCTGTGAAGCTGCTCCTAAAGTCCATTTTTCTGCATGGTGTGTAAAGTCATTCTCACCACCAATTTCCCTGGGGAGCCGGCTGGAGTGAGGAATTGCACTTTGCAGGAAAGGAAAGTCAGTTCTAACCTGGCACAGGCATTCCGGGCCCATTGCCTTTCCCTCATGTAAAACAATTTCAGGAAGAGGAGAAATGGTGAAACGAGAGAGTTTTTATTTATTTTTTTGCTTTTTGGGTCACACCCAGCGATGCTCGGGGTAACTTCTGGTTTTGCACTCAGGAATTACTCCTGGTGGTGCTTGGGGGACCATATGGGATGCTGGGGATTGAACCCAGGTCAGCCGCGTGCAAGGCAAACGCCCTACCCGCTGTACTATTGCTCCGGCCCCCAAGAGAGTTTTTAACTGAATGAAACTAAGAAAGAAGTGAGCTGGGGAGGAGGAAAGGAAATGCCTGTTCAAGAGAGAACTGGAGCTTGAAAGACTGGTAAACAAGCAAGCAAGCAAAGAGACAGAAAGATATATATCCAAAGGAGAACACCAGCTTGAAGAGCAAGCACTAAATGGCTCTGGGGAGCAGGTTCTACACTGTTTCTCCAACACGTTTCCCCCCCACCCCCACCGGAGTTTTGTAGGTACAAATCTGGGTATTTTCACAGGGAAAGCTTTGCACTGTTGATAGTTTTTTTTTTTTAAATAATCCCCTAGATTAGATTCTTCTGTAGGTTCTCCTTTTCTGGGGTTCACCCTTTTCTGGGTGATGCCTCGGTTTCTCCTCTCCAAAGGGCTCAGGAATATCTCAAAGGGATGTGGTCTTCAAGCTTTGGGCTATTCAGTGCTAAGTAGTCTCTTCTTTTTTTTTATTTTATTTTTTTGCTTTTTGGGTCACTCCCGGCAATGCACAGGGGTTATTCCTGGCTCTGCACTCAGGAATTACTTCTGGCGGCGCTCAGGGGATCATATGGGATGCTGGGAATCGAACTCAGGTTAGCGGTGTGCAAGGCAAACGCCCTACCCGCTGTGCTACTGCTCCAGCCCCTAAGTAGTCTCTTCTTAAATTATATATATTACCACCCCCTGACCTATCTGTCTGCAACAATATTATGGTATAGCAACAAATCGCACAGCCTTTTCATGGCCTTTATAACACATAGATCAAATCTTTGCTAGTTGGGCAAATACAGACAAGCGCCTGACAGTACAACTAGCTGCAGCGAACGCTCTGCGCGCAGAAGGCTGGGTTAGATCCCTGGCACTGCATGGGAGCATTGCCAGGAGCAACCCCCAGCTGGGTGTGGGTTCCCTTCAGCCCCCCCCCCCAAAAAAAGAAAGTTTCCCTTTCATCTGTAAAATGTAAAATGAGGACATTGAGGGCTAACTCAAAGGATTGTACAGCAGCTTAAAAACCAGGCGCAGGCGCAGGTTTAATGGCCCAAGGTCACAAAATGGGGTAAGAGACAACCGTGGGATTCTGATTCCAGCTTAGCTACTTGCCGAGCTCGGGTTCTTTCCCACCGCCGCTCGGTAAGCAAGCAGGCATAATCATCCCGAGCTCCCTTAAGGGCTCCGATTCCCCACACGACACAGTTCATTCTAAAAGAGTGCGTTCATTCATTCAACTTTTGGGTCAAGGTGTGCCCGGGACGCAGACTGGCAGCTTCCTCCTCCTGGCCCTTCTCCTTGCACGCCGGTCACGCAGGAGCTGGACGTCTCACGCACACTTACAGCCAAGGCACCGGGGCCCGAGGCGAGCGGCGCCGCACACGCACGGCGCGAGGGGGCTCTCGGCGCTCCCCGCCCCGCCCCGCCCCGCCCCGCCCCGCCGCCGCCGCCGCCGCCGCCGCCGCCGCCGCCCCCGCGGCTCCCGCCCCGCCCGGCGCCAGGCCCCGCCCCGCGCGTGACGTCAGCACGCGGCGTGCGTCGCGGCGCGGCGCTCACTGGGGGCCCGGCTTTCGCCCGCTGCTGCCGCCGCCGCCGCCGGCCGCGGCTGCTCTCCCAAGATGGCGGCTCCTCCGGGCGAGTACTTCAGCGTCGGGAGCCAGGTGTCGTGCCGGACGTGCCAGGAGCAGCGGCTGCAGGGCGAGGTGGTAGCCTTCGACTACCAGTCCAAGATGCTGGCTCTGAGTATCCTTGGCCGCGCGGGGCCCGAGGCCCGGCCGGCGTGCGTGTGCGGGGGTGGGGGGGTGGGGGACGGCCGCGGCGGCTGGGGCCCGCGCCGGGCCTAGGGGCGACCGGCGACCGCGGCGCCGGGGCGCATGCGCACGGCCCCGCACTCCCCTCCCCCCCCCCCGCCGCTCCCTCGGGCCGCTGGGGCGGGGGGGGGGGATCCGGTCGCTCCCACCCTGCCCCCGGTGGGCGCGGGGCCCCGAGCTGGAGGCGGCGGGTGGAGGGACGGCTTGACACGCGACCGGCCTCGGCCAGGCGGCGGGGGTGGGGGCCGCTCGGGGAGGAGGAGGGGGCTCGTGGAGGTGGAGGCGGGGGGGCCGGTGGATTGGAGCCCGGATGGAAGGGGGGCGGGTCGGATGTGAGGAGGGGGCGTGGAGGGTCCGCGGCCGCCCGACCCGGGTGACTGCTGAGGGGGCTGGGTCCCCGGGAGGGTTCGGTGCGGCGATGACCGCGAGCAACTGCGGGGTGGGGGGTGGTGGGGGGGAGTAGGGGGCTGGGGGTCCCCTGTTGCGGGGTGAGCGCGCATGGTGCCCTGGGCTTGGCGGGTGCCGAACTGTAGACTTCGTCAGCCCTCTGGGGATTGCAGGTCTGTGTAAGCGCATTCATTGGGGACCTGGACCTCCAGCTTTCAGGGGCTGCTTTATGGTGCTGTGGGTTACAGGTGCTAGAGTCCTCCAGGGCCCAACCCAGGAGACCAGCCTGGACTGTGGTCACCCCCCACCCCTTAGGCAAGTGGCAGGGGTCCACTAAGGTCTCTGGCTGCTCTGGGTTGTCTTGGGGTAGAAATGATTTCTCTACCCCTCCTGGGAACTTAACCTGGAAAGCAAAGCACTACCTGGGTTTATTGAATGTGCTGCCCCTTCCCCTTATATTTGAGCTCATGGTGGGTTTTTTTGGAATTTTTTTCCTGGAGAAATAATCCTTTATGGCATCTCCCAAAAGGAACTTGCCTACCCAGTCTGCTTTCTTTGAATGACAAGTTTTTTTTTAATTCCCTTAACCACTTGTAGATTTTTAGCTGAAAAAGCTGTCCTGAAAGTAATTATAGCAAGAACAGAGCTTTCATTTTTTTTTTTTTCTTTTTGTTGTACTGTGCACTAGAATTCAAACCTGAACCAAATAAGACCACCTACTGTTGTGGCTTTATTGGAAGGATTTGGGGAGGAGCGATCACTCTGGTGGCACGGAACAGACCATATGGTTTACTTACGGATTGAACCCAGGTTAGATGGTGCAAGGCGAACTTGCACTTGCTGTACTCTCTCTGCAGCCCCAGGTAGTTTTTGCAGGAATTTTTAAGCAGCATATAGTAGCTGCTGACCAACGATTAGAGATTGAATGGATGGAAGGACTGGGTCTCTTTGAATTTCATTTTCAGTGCTATATTTTTCTTCTCTGCAAAATGGGAAAGCTCAAATCTGAGAAAGTGGACCGAGCGCTCTAAAGATGCTGTTTGGAGTCTGAGATCCAGAACAGAAAGGATAGTCTCCTGTGTGGTTTAGAGGTGTAAGGCACACAGTCTACCGGGACACGGCATCTGCTTCTCCGTGAAGCGAGCCAGGAGGTGACAGACCCTTGCGCAGTTTCCAGGGTTGGATTAGGCTTGGCGTTGGGCAGCTTGAGTTCTGGTGTGGGAGTGGGAGGAAGGCTGGAGGCAGGCATTCCCTGAGGAACCCTGCGATTCCTGTGTGAGGCCTGGGCCCGTACTTGGGGCCCACTTTACACAAGCCCTGTGTGTGAATTGGCTTTCTCTATGCCCTTTGGGATCTGACAGGGCCTCTACTTGCCTCTAGTTTCCTTCACTTTATTTTCTTACCAGAATGTCCCTCATCCAGTGGAAAGCCCAACCACGCAGACATCTTGCTCATAAACTTACAATATGTTTCAGAAGTGGAAATTATTAATGACCGAACAGAAACCCCTCCTCCCCTAGCTTCACTCAATCTCAGTAAGGTAAGTATTGGGAGGAATTGGTGGGGGCATTGAGTCTCATTAGTTCCTCCTGATACGGAGTAGGGTGGGAGCAGGCGAGAAAAAATATTCTTTATGATACACACATCGTCCATTGTTTTTCCTTTTTTTGGTGGGGTGGGGAGAGCACACCCGGTGATGCTCCGGGGTTACTCCTGGCTGTGCACTGAGAAATTACTCTTGGCAGTGTTCGGGGGACTGTATGGAACGCTGGGGACTGAACCCTTTGCAAGGCACACTCCTGCCTACTGTCCTATCACTCCAGCCCCATGTTTTCTTTGTTTCTTTGACTTAAAATTGCTTATTCTAATCACTTAATAAACGTGACATTTCAGTTTTTCTCTTTATTCCTGGATTTCTTTAGGAGATTTTAGGATGTGTCCTCATAACTGAAGAGAAAAAAGAGATTGCTTTTGTCTTTGGTTAAAACGCAATTTTTTTGGTGATTTTTAAAAGTTGAAGTTCATGTATGAGCTGGTGTTGATGGGGTTGAATTGAGCATCGGGGTTTGCCCGGGGCCCTCCTGCAGTAGTCCTGCTGCTGTGCACACATGTATGCTTCCTGGTGATGATTCTGGAATAGTTCTCAGGTTCCCAGAGGGATTCCTGACCTACAAAAATTGGAAAATCTCACTACCTTGGTTCATTTTTGCCTTGGTTTTTGCATCTTGAACTCTTTAACAATTGTCTAGTATGTTTTAGTCTTAGATACGCAAGTTAATCTCTGGGAATTCCCAGGTGCCTTTTTGTGTTTTGTTTTGGACCATACCTGGTGGAGTTCAGGGAGGACCAGGGGGTGCTGGGATCAAACCCTGGGCTCCTGCATGAAGAACATGTGCTCAGCCTCTTCAGCTCTCTCTGACCCCCCCAGATAGCTTTTTTCTTTATTGTGTAGTTCAGTCGGTCAAAGTTCATATTGATCAGTGATAGCAATACCCTAAGTCTTTCCTGTTCCTAGCTTCTTTCTAGGACGACTGGAGCCATCATACTCACTTTAACCGTCCCTCTGCTGAGAAGTCTCTGCTCACCCAGACTAGAGTCATTTACCCCCTAATTCTCAGCGCGCTTTCCTCCTGCAGAGCTAAGGTGGCACAGCATTTCAAGTCCACTTTGAGACATATGTGAGAGTAAAGAGGAGGGGGTGCGTTTCTCTATACTGAGACAGAGATAGATCAGTGTGTCCTGGATAAAGGTGGGTCCTAAGGGTACTGTCATCTTTTTTGAAATTAAAGTATGTTTATATAGGCACGTGTGTATATGTCACTAGTTTGCTGTTCTTGCTCACCAAACTATTCTGTGAATGTGGGGACCATATCATTTTCGCTTATAACTGATGACACCATGCCTTACACGGAGTAGTTAATAAATTAGACCTTTGATTTTTGTAGCAGCTGCCTGCCTTGCCTTCAGTTTTCTTGATTCGGCGTGGTGGAACTTTTTCCCTTGTAATGACATACATGCTTTTAGCTCTCTTGGGAACATGGTATGTTAGCTACACTTCAGCAAAACTGAAGACCGCTAAAACAGTAGTGTGTAGCTGAGGTGAACAACCTGGTCAGCTCAGATCTGGAGTCCCTTCAGGGAAATGCCTCCGGTTGTCAGTGATAGCTAAGGATAGATTTGAAAGGGTCTTGGGTCTTGTATTAAAGGTTACTGGATACAGAATGTTCCATTCTTAGAAATCTGTAGAGTTTCGTTTTCTGGGGCACACCTGGTGGTGTTCAGGGCCAACTCCGAGCTCGATGCGTCAGGGGAGTGTGTGGTGCAGGGATTGAACCCAGGCCTCCTGTGTGTAAAGTGTGAGCTTGTTTATAGTTTGTTGAGCTACCTCCCCAGCCTGAAACTGGGTGGCTTTGAAAACGTGACTTAGTCAGATACCTCTTTTTTTTTTTTTTTTAGGTCACACCAAGCAATGCACAGGGAATTCTCCTGGCTTTGCACTCAGAAATTACTACTGGCGGTGCTCAGGGAACCATGTGGGATGCTGGGAATCAAAGAACCCGGGTTGGCCATGTGCAGGGCAAACGCCCTACCCGCTATTCTATCTCTCCAGCCCCAAGTCAGATACCTCTCGCTAGCCTATTTGGATGGTCTTTGATATGACCTGATAAGATTTTGGAGGATTTTTAATTTTTGGGGGGAGGGGCACATCTGGCAGCACTCAGCTTACCCCTGGCTCTGTGCTCAAGGATCACTCCTGTCAGGTTCAGAGGGCCATATGAGGTGTCAGTGATCAAAGCCAGGTTGGCCATGTGCAAGGCCAGCCCCCTTCCCAGTGTACTATTGCTCCGGCCCCATGCTGAAGAGATCCTGAAGAATCAGGTGGACGATTTATTTCTAGCTTACTGAGAGAAACAGACACTAAATTATCCATTGGTGTACACGAAATAGCTACTTGTAGTGAATGGTAGAGGAAGGATCTGAAAAAGGGAGGATTTTCTCAGATTAAAGTGACACTAAGTTTTGGGACCAGCAAGTGCCATCCTTCCCAGAGCGGGCTGGAGGAGTGTGGGCGCAGCTGCGGAGTCAGAGCTGTTGAGCAATTCCCTCGGATTTGCAGGTCAAGTAACTTGGTTATTTTGCCAATTATCTTTCCCTTTTGGGATTTGATTTCTGCAGGCGATTTTAGTAGTTTATTAGCCTCGTTGTAAACTGGTTGTTTACTCGCTGTCTTAAGAAAGCAGGAAAAAATAATAGTTTGGGGAATACCAGAAACCTTGACTTTTCTCACTTTGCGGTTTACTTGCCAAGTCTTGTAAAAGGTTTGCTAAAAAGAAGAGTCAGAAACTGAAAACTAAAATTAGGTTGGAAGGCTATCTTTGGGTTTTATTTATTCATTCTTCCATTTGTAGAGAAGTTTTATGAGTAAGCTATATTGGCTTTCTCTTGAAGCTAACCTTTGAGAAGGCTTTGGGATTTCTCCGTGGATTCAGTTAGAATTAGAAGAGCCTGCTGGGCTATTCCTGAAAATATTCTGGGCATCTGTTGATATGTCGCTTGATTTTTATGTCGGTTTTGATTGTTTGGGGGTCAAATGTGGCAGTGCTCAGGGCTCTTTTGCTTTGTTGGTGCCCAGGTACCATGTGGTGTCAGGGATCAGATCACAGCCTCCTACATGCAAAGCATGTGGTATCTGTGCAGGCTTTGAGCTCTCCCTCACCCCACATGTGGCTTGAAAGGGTTTTAAAATTTATCTCGTGGAATCAGATTCTGTACTGGGGTTAAGGCACGAGCCTTGTGCATGGCTGGCCCAGGTGTGATCCCTTACACTTCATCTGGTCGCCTGAACTGCCAGCGGTGAGCCTTGAGCACTGCCTGGTATGGCTCCAAATCTTCCCCTCCTCAAAAAAAAAATTATTTTCTCTTAAGACCATGACTATAGACAGTAGTAGTTTTCTGGTTTTTTTTTTTTTAGTGATGCTGGATAGTTTTTATTAAACGAGACCTATTTAGAAAGATGTGAGGGGAGAGAGAGGAAGAGACAGGAAATACCTGATCAAGAGAGAACCGGTAGTAGTTTTTGTTTTGTTTTTGGGTCACACACCTGAGATGTTTATGGGTTATTCCTGACGATGCACTCAAGAATCACCCCTGGCGGTGCTCCGGGTACCATATGGGATGCTGGGGATTGAACCCAGGTAGGCCCACATGCAAGGCAAGCCCCTCCCTACTCGCTGTACTATCTCTGGCTGAGCCAGCAGTAGGGCCACACCCAATGGTGCTGGGGTAGGAAGGCAGCCCTGGGGCTATTTTCTGAGATATGGGCATGAGGGTTTGGTCCTCAGGGCCTGTGGGTTTGGTGCCCAGGCCTTGTGGGTTTGGTCCACTAGAGGCCATCAGGGCCACACCCTACAGTGCCAGGGGAGTCAAACTCAGGGCCTTGCTTGTGCAAGACTTGTGCTCTGCTGCTCAAGATCTGTTTTGAGCCAGGACTTACTGACATTTTCTAAGATGGGGATTATTTAAGCATGTGAAAGGACATTCAGCAAAGTTCTCTGCGATTCTTGGAAGAAAACTGTTGAGTCTTGTGGTCTAGGGGCCTTCCAAAAGAGAGGTGCCATCAAATGTGGACTCTTCTTGCTAGCCTAGGAAGTGCTCTGTTTAATTAAACCTGTTGACATCAATATACTTGTTTACTTTGACCCAGCAGGAAATGAAAGAGAAGGAATTTTATAGTTAATTTTTGATTTGTATGGGTTATTTTGATGCTGGAGTTTGAACCAGGTCCTTTTATATGCCAATTATGTGCTCTGCCAGTGAGGTACAGACATCCCTGGCCCTGAGAAGGCATTTTTATTTCTTGGGCGCCCACATCTGGTGATATTTTGATGGCCACACCTGGTGATGCTGGGGATTGAACCTGGGGCTCATGAATTTGTGCTTCAGCCCTTAGAGCAATATTCCTCATTTGAGAAGCATTTTATTTATTTTTTTTTTTGTTTTTGGGCCATACCTGGGTGTGCTCTGGGCTTATCTGTCCAGCCTTCATGAGAAGCTTTTTGTTATTTTTTAGATTATAATTTTGGTTTTTGGGCCACACCCAGCAGTGCTCAGGGTTTATTCCTGACTACATGACTACATTCAGGAATCACTCCTGTCAAGGCTCAGGGGACCATATGGGGTTTGGACGAACCTGGGTTGGCCATATGCAAGTTGAGTGTCCTGTCCAACTCTTTCCAGTCCCCTAAGAAAGGAAGTACTTTATTCCAATTTATTCCAATTCAACTGAAGAAAGTATGAATTAGATGAACCTATTTTGCTTTTGATTGGTAGTTTATTGTGGGTTAGGGTTAAAAAGTTCTATCTGCACAGTAGGATGTAAGAGGAATCCTCGGAGAGGATAATGGGGCCGTGTAAGGTAGAAAATAACTTCATATTCTCCATTGTAACATTGTACTCTGCTAAAGTGTTCTGAATTTCCTGGCTGTAAGACGTAAGCATTTAGTTCATGTTTTTATGTGTATAGTGCCAGGAAATCAGGTG